ATGGCAGCCAGGTTTAAATAACCCTCGAGACTCTGCCATTTCACTCTTTTATGGTCTCATTTGGTTTTGTTAAACTTAGGCTGTCTTCGCATCTATATTTTTACTTACCTGAGCCTTCACTAACAGGAAGTCAGCAATCTTTGTCTTGATACAAACTGATCTTGGTGCCAAATGGCGTAGCAACTTTTTCTGTTTTCTGTTTGTCATTCCCATACTAGAATCCAAAATATTTTTGTGTAGCATAAGTTTATTCTTTTTCTTTCTGCAGCCAGTTCAGCATTGGTTTTGTTGTATTCTCCAGCTCATCAGTATCAGTATTGGTCTGTGGACTCTGTGTGCTGGATAGTAATGTTTATAGATGGTTTAAAAAACAAATATTAACCATTTACAAAGTGCAACTGACACACATTTTAATCTAGATGTTTTATAACCAATATTTAAACCCTATATAAACCTTTAACAAATAGTCCATTAATAATTAATGAAAATTATATTAACCTATATTAATAAACTATCTATTTGTCATTTATAATTGGTCTATATGCTGTTTTTAAATGATGATTGAACATTAATTAACTATCTATTTACCGTTTATAAATCATGGTTATTGTAAAGTGTTACCCCACGTTTTTCAAACTCCACTGTCAGAGAGAGTTGATCATTTCCATCTCTGTTACTAGTGAATGCTCACCTGTGCTTTTATGGTTTGCTTCTCTGGTCTGTTTGTTTCCTGGTTCTTTCTAAGTGGAGGATTAGGTGCTAATCTGATTGCTGCTAAATGTACAAGTATCCTTTTCATCAAAATAACAGCATGTGACAGGTTTCCCAAAGTTCAGTCGAAAGGTTGTTTCAGTTATTACAGTGAACCCACGTTGGGTATCATCGACATATATAACCTGGATATAGGTCTGCAATCATTTAGTTCCACTTGATCCCATTATTGAAAGGTCCTCAGACCTTTGAGTCCCCCCTGTCCCTGAGATCAGGTCATCTGTACCCTCTAAGCCCCCCCTTGACAGCGCAGCATTTACCTAATTAAAAAACATAAATAACAAGAATCCTAGCAGGATTTTCTCCTCCCTCTGTGGACAGGATTCAATAACAGACGTATCTAACTTTAGAGTTGAAGAACATTGTTGGAAATGTTTTAAACTTGCCATACTTTCCTACAGATTTCCTGCTAAATTTCCCTGATAGTGTTTGGAATTGTACAAAACAACTATATTTCCAGTCAAGATTGGTGTAATAAAAAGGGTTTCCACTACATAACAGGCCAAAGATGGAAAACATCCCCTTTGTTAATGGATATATGAACAGTCACTATGGAATTATGGCTGAAGCCTTGATCCAGTTAACTGAAAAACAGCTCAGGCAGAGCAAAGGGAAGAACCGTTTAAGGTTTAATGGCTTAAAAGAAAGATATATATGAAACATCATAAAGGAGTCAGTCATCGGACAGAACTCCTCTGGTAATCATTTTCTTTGTGTTGCTGCTTTGTGCAGCCTCCACTGATGGTCAGGTGTGATTGTTGCCATTCATCATTTTCTACCTGCCTGAGCCGCAGCCACATTCATCACTTCCCACCTGCCGAAGTCTGGCCAAGCTGCAGAATCACGCGGCCTGAGTGGGAAACAGAAAATCACAATGATTGAACGTCAAGGGAAGCAGATGTCAAACTGGTGTTGGCCCTGAATGACACACCGGCTCCCTCGCTTTCCCCCTGTCACTTTAAACTGGTAAGTGACCTTCAGGATAGAAACGCGATACGGTTACTGCCGCGCTGTCACCGCCTGATGGTGAATGCTGACGGATGAGCGGTGAGGTACTGAGGCCTTCACAGAGCACTCAGATCATTAAGGTGTGACCACTGGTGGCAATATTGTGACGCCAGCTCAAGTCAAGTGACCATAAAAGCGCAGATCAATTTATTAGACTGAAAAGCTCTCACGCTGTTGATGTTTACTGACTGAAAGGGGGCTGAGAAACAGACTGTTATGTAAATTTGGTAACATTTTACAGTAACCATAATTTATAAATGGCAAATAGATAAGTTTTTTATGTTTAATCATCATTTAAAAACAGCATAAAGAACAATTATAAATGGCAAATGGTTTATTAATGTAAGTTAATAGTTACTTTACCATTGACAAGCAATGAAACTATGATTAATAATTTTCTGGACTATTTATTAAAGGTTTATAGAGGGTTTAAATATTGGTTGTAAATCATCTGATGTTAAATGTGTGTCAGTAGCACTTTGTAAATGGTTAATAATTGGTATTTAAACCATCTATAAACATTTATATATTTATAAATGGTGATTAAACATTAAGAACTATCTGCTTACCATTTATAAATGGTCTATTTACCATTTATAAGTTATGGTTATTGTAAAGTATTACCATAAATTCTTACAGAATTAATAATGTGCCATTACCTTTAATTAAAATGCATATAATGCAGGATGCTTGTCTTCGTGGTGTTGCCATACCTGTCTTTGTATGAGCGTAGAGCAAACGGCACAAATGTTCCCAAATTGAGGCAGTTTATTTAGTATTGGTTGTGATGGATTCAGTGGCTGAAGAAAGTCTAGCACCTCCTAGTGGACATTTAAAAAAACTGCTGTAGTGAAGCTTCCTTATTCTCATTCAATGGCCCAATCCCAATCCGCCCCCTACACACTCGCCCTTCACTACAGAGTGTCACTCGTAATGAAGTTACACTCACAACTGTGGAGTGCGCTTAAATTGAAATGGGAGGGTATAAACAAGACAGGCGGGTATGGGACGCCCTCCTTGCTCCACCGGAAAATGGAAAGATTGATCGCCATAGCAACATAATAACGCATCCTGTGCATCGCAGCATTTCTTTTCCAAGTAAGAGGACATCATATACAGTTCTGAGCCGCACCGGCTGCCTCATTTTTTCATTGTCCCATTAAAATCATAAATTCAGCAACCACTTTTCATTGTAAGCGATTCCACTTGTCTTTAAACCCCTTTACTATTTGACATGTTTCTGCACAATCAAATCAAACTTCAGTAAAGAGCAAGATTTCCGAGTCTCATTTCATCTTTTCAAACCACTTCTTCTGTGACTTTTCTTGTCATTGAGACAAAGGTGGACACATGGGAAACTTATATCTGTATGTTGTTTCCTCCTCCTTCCTTTTTACCAGCACACTACCTGCGAATCCTGCCGTAAGTCTGCATCGGCGCAGACTCGCTATTCATGATCCTACAGTTGTGTCAGCCATTTTCTTCAGGCACCATTGCGCATTGCATTTCCTGTCTATTTTGAGCCTCAGAGACACTTTGTGAGTCTTGAATGTTGTCGTAGTATTCGACCAAGAATAACTGAAGTCATGAAGTTGCATACATAACACAACACAAACTTGAGGATATGTTGATAAAACCAACGTTGTATCACACGATCTCACCATACTGGGTCATCTTTTTTTTTACCTTATCAACAACTTGTTGTCCAAACTTATAGTTTAAGACTGATCCGACTGGGTTTGAACAGGTGGGCCCAGATGGTTTGAGGCAGCATCACAGCAGCGGACTACAGGTGCATCTGCTCTCTATTAAAACCGCAGCTGATCAAATAAAGCCAGCGGAAAACAAAGTTGGATACAAAAACACCACACTACAAAATGCTCTGCATCTTCTGCAAGTGAACATCATCATCAGTTAATATTTACAGAGTTTCAAATGGGCTCTACGGTAAAAACCAAGCGACTCAGGAAAAGTCAGGCATGTTGCTCAACATCTGAGGCTCAGTTATGATGTGCTATGGATAATAATATAGAGGCATATTTTTAAATGCTGCAAATATATTTAAGTGTCAAAATGCTTAAAAATATAGTGTCACAGAGTGTATTTTCTTAAAGTGGCAACCCAAAAACTACATGACTATCTGTCTGAGTAACAAGCAGACCCATCATACATGCTAAACTGCAGGTTATTTTACACTATATCTTTATGGAATATGATTCAAACTGAACTATAACCATCATTTTATTTAATTATCTATCCGTGTATATATTAAGCCTTTCATCCCCTCCTACCGTTGCTGTTGTCCGTCTGTCTATTCCTTTGTGAAGCACTTTTTCATGTATATATGTATCAAAGGTGCCACAGAGACAAAGAGTCTTCAAAAGAGTCGTCTTTTTAAAAGTTAACCATGAAAAGTGTGGGTCCTCTTATTATTAGTGCCGTCTTATATCCATGCCAATATGTTAATCAGGAGGGGGTGTTATCATAAAACAAACCTTAAGCGTTTGAAATGTGCTTTACAAAGTGAGAACAAAACTCCAATTAGCCCTCCTGACAACCAGGACCTCAGCCTCTTATTCTTATGTTCTTAACAGGGCTTGTCTTGTTATCCATATACATGTAAGAAAATACCTGCTCATGATACTGCCCAGATTTGCTGTCACTGTCCAATTACACCAGAGTAGATACAGGTGAGATGTGTGACCTGTGCTAATGAGAGGAAAAAGCTATTTTAACTGGACATGTGTCGTCCTTTATTTAATCTCAGCAATCACCGCCTTTCATTTAATCACCATCCAGTCATTTCAGAGATAAATCACACGAACTGCACCCTTTTTTTCCCTCACATGGTCATTTTCATCAGTGTGACCACCATGACACGCTGGTGATTCAGTATTCCCTCCTGTGATGACCTTTTTCTGCTGCTGCGTTGTCATGCCAATAGTGATGTTATTTGGACGTGCGCCCTCCTGTCACTGATCTCCAGCCCGTCAGAATAATGATGATGATATATGGCTGTTTGTGCGGCGAGCTCCTCTGAAACCCGTGAACTGTGATCCTCAATCTCCGTCCATCTTGTTGTTATTTAACAGCACCTCAGAGAGATTGCACGCCTGTTAGACAGGAGGTCGCCACGTGGATCTTAAGTAAGGGGAGGACAGATTGCGTTAGGTGCTCTGTGAAAATAAAGGAAAGTGACAAGCCGTTTCCACAGCAGGTATTTGACTTGACTTGACCTGTGGGAAAGCACCAGTCTTACAAATGAAATGAATACCTTTAGTTGTGTGTCCCTGTACACCCGTTAAATGGTGGCACTGGGCTGGTGTGCGAAAACCAGACCAATAGAACCAAAGTAGACAAATGAAACCCACATTTTATGTAGTATTTACACTGTTGGCCATTTAGAATAGATTGATGACACGGCAGATCTCTTTGAGTGAAGCCAACACCTCCTTATTGCCCCCTAGTGGATGGCTGCAGTATATAGCCAATAAAGCCTGCCTCCTATAAATACGACAAGACTCAAATTATAAGATCAAAAAAACAAGACAAATGTTACAAAAATGATATAATCACAACTGACACTATCTTGGAGTTTGCTTGTCTCAATTGGCTGGAATCTAGCAATCCAGCAACCTCAGTGTATGGAATTATATGTTTGTGGAAATGAATTTGTGTTTCATGGTTCACAGAAATTTTGGTACTTTTTGAACATTTTGTTCTGGATGGTACGGTGTTAGAACTTCCTGTCTTTTGGCACTTAACCAAGGTCAAATTGTGAACATACTGATCCTGGATTGATACAAATATGATGACTGGATTGCTTTAGAAACATTCGAGAATATCCAGCCAATCAGTAGCCCATAGAAGTTTGTTTACTGCAAAATCCAAGCATGACCAACCCATGTAGATATACCTCTTGGACAAAGGTAAAGGGTCTCCTGTGCAAAGAAATATCTAAGAAATATTTGAATTTCAACATAAAAAACACCACAAATTCCATTTCTAAGAAGGAACTGAATGCTTTAAGTTTCTAATATCATTATCTATGCACTGATCTGAGTTGGTGGGGTTACTGACTAGTACAGAGTGATGTAAAGGCGGGAAAACACCCAAAAAAATGTGGCGAGTGCTCCAGAAGAATCCGAATCTGACCCCAAACAGAAAGAGAAAAGTGTTGAAGTGTATCATCCACCATTACAACATCATGCCCCAAAGTGGTGTGTTGAAATTCTCAGTGTTATTCCTACTTTCATGCCTTTTATGTTTAACTTAATCCAGCAACACTAAAGCAAAAGCACAGCAGTGTAGGAGGAAGAGGAATTGCTCAAGGAGTTAGTGGTTTTGCATACATGTTTATGCAAATTTGTCATTATGACAACACAGGAGCCGATTCATATGTTCATAGGAGCAAAGCCTACCCTGTAGGGGTCCCTCTCTTTTCCTCTGTGATTACAAAATATGGGTGAGTGCCCCCTACAGGCCTGGAGCACTTTTGTTGTGACATTAAGATATGTAGCGACTCTCTACTTTGCAGTTGTTTTGTTTTACAGATTACAGATCACTTCTTAGATTACAGCCTATCTATGTATTCATGCAGTTTTTGAGCCTTTTTGCAGTATGATGTTTTATTTGCGTTCCTATCAGATATGGAAACTTCAGATAAATTGGTCTAATTGGCCCTTGTAAGTTGCCTGTTGAAAAACACCACTTAACCATTCAGATATGTTTTCACAGAGACTGTTATTCTACTGAGTGCACAAACAACATTATCACGTATCAAAAGCAGTACATCTTGTAAAGTACTGTACATGCAAAAGTGTGGAGGCTAAATGGTCAAAGAGGCCGGAGTGGCTGAACAGCTGCTAGTTATTTTGGTGTAAGCTGCTTCTGTCGTTTATTAATAAGTTCAGAAAGTCATCATCGTTCATTTACTTGAATTTCTTACACTTACTGAAGAGTGTGGGTGTTAATGAAGGTGATTCACTAGTCACTCTCTTCTCACTTGATATATTGGTATACTTGCCTGAGTGTTGGAGCAACTGTTTCACGCAGAGTTGGTTTTCATTAATGCAGTAATTAATAGATGGATGTGTTTGCTTAAATGGTCACTGTAATCATCTTGTTAGTTTTAGATGTGAATATAGAAACTGATTTCATTAGAGCGACTCTTCATACCTCAGGCTGTTGATGATTAGCTGAAGTTAATGTAGCCCTTTGCCAAAGAGACAGTGTGCAATTCAAGCTGGGTAATGATTAGGGTATAATTATAACTGCTATGCTCTAAGCATGCTTTACAGCGGCCTAATTGCTCTATCTCCAGCCTATATGAGGATCTTTTGTAACTTATTTTGAAGACCACAAATATATGCCTTTGAATATGTCATATTTATCTTTATAAAGTTTCTTTCATTTTCCCTTTTTTATTTTCTTGTCACGCCTCTTGGACCGAGCAGTTTCAGGAACATCAGTTTCTCAGTTTTAAGTCATGAGTTTGGATTATACCCTTTCACAAAGCTCAACAGGAAAACAACAGCAGATTTTGCAGGTGTAGAAGAACAGGGAGAGGAAAATCACAGGCAGATATCAAAGAATATACCTTTGCAAGCAATATAAAGAAAATTAAAGACTTCAAACTGTCTGAACCATAATCACAAAGGGCTTTTATGCCTCCTAAATCTGTGCAAATGAGACAAAAAGATCACGCATAATAGACTGAGGATATGCAATAGGGTAAATGAGCCCCACACCATACTCTGGTACTATTTGCAAACCCATAAGTAAGCCCTTGTGTATCGTTGTGGGGTGAAATTGGACCCTCTCCTATGCAAATGAACTGCTCTAACAGTCATGTGAAATTCAAGTGGAAATATCACCATCTGCTGAGACAAGTAAACTAGGGTGACCATATTCTGACTTCCAAAAAAGAAGACACGACAACACGGGGGCGGAGTCATGGAGTCGCACAAAGTTAATTTTGAGAGTTTTTCGGTCGGATTGTGTGTGTTTTACGCGCTTCTAACTCAGTAAGTCAGCATGACACAAACTCGGAAATTTTGTACAAAACCACGAATATTTGAAGGATTTTATAAACTTACCCGGACAAACCCTGACAGCCCCCCAAAAAGAGGACATGTCAGGGTAAAAGAGGACGTACGGTCACCCAAAGTCAACACAGCGTTGATAATACTTTGACTTTACTTTGGTTATCAGAGGTTAAGTTGGTCTTGGACCCTCCAGGGTGTAGCCACGGGACGAGTGTGATTGTTATTTGGACAAACTGTTCTTCCTCGATCATTCCAGAGAGAAACTTTTATGACAGTTCTAACAAACTTCTGTTTATCTGTTGGCTTCTCTAAGCTAAGACAAAGCAGATGCAGACAGCTCAGATGCATGACTGGATGCAACACAAGAGTAAACTGTGAAAACAAAGGGTTATTTTGTGCTGAAACATCACTGATACAATCTCACACTTGATAGACCAAGTGCTGAAACTCTGCCCTTTAAGAAGAATCCCACATGTGAAACCCTAAAAACCCAGCCTTCAGTCTGTGCTTGTTTAATAAGCCTGACTCCTGAACTTATCAAACATCCCTGGCAGAAATGTCGAGCCTGAGCACACAACAAACCAGACTGATGAAGCTTCCACACACACTTCACACTTGTACTCTCAGAAGCCTTTTCTTTGTGCGAGCTGCAGGGCTCTGGAAACAGATTGACTGCTGCTGCTGCTGCCGACAGACTGGAGCTACACTCTTTCCCTGCAGCAGCTGGCAGAGCGTAGAAGTAATGTGACATCCGACTCTGGCTGCTGGAAGATGCCTGGAACTGCTGAAGTCTTTTCATCTGTTACCCTGCAACCAACAACAAGTCCCTGCAGCCCTTCCTGTCCTCAATGTATGTGCTTTGCCTTCGCACTTTGATCATTTCTCATGTTCGTCCGTCCTTTTGAACAGCAACCAGCGATTGTTTTTTCTTGCCTCTGTGGGCTGGCCTTGTTTTTCACATTGGCATGCAGTTCTTTTGATCCCAACATCAGTGGTATCCTGAATGACTTCTTTATTGATGTACAAATCACTCAGCGGCACAATGAGAACTACATCTCTGTCAGACTCAGTCGCTTTTTTGATGATACATTAGAGCAGCCAGGTAAACTCCTCTGAAAGCAAGTCATTAAAATAATTAGTGCAATTTCATTCGGTCGGATGACGGATCCTTTATTTGAAGACAAATTGGAATAAGTTTAACAAGCACAAGCCATTCATATGTATAAATATTAAGAGAATCAGTCTTTTTTTATTAAGAGACCAACTGGAAATACACTGGGGTGAATAGGAGTGGGCACGACTACCTGAAATTTAAATGACTGTTTGTTTTCAGCTCTTGGTGTTGTGAGTTTAGTAATCCTTTTTTAGTGTGTTACATAACTTTTCACAAGCCCCAAGCACTGAAGAATATTGGATTCCTGCTGTGCCTCACATCTTAAAAGTTTAACATCCTTAGTGGACAAAGCTTCCAGACCAGAAGTTCTTTAAACTTTGATTTTATAACTCTTGAAAGTTTTTCAAATCACAACTTCTGGCTTTTGACACTTGCAAATCTAATCCAACTTTTAATCTTTAAATAAAATGATGTTTTTTTGCCACAGTTGTCAAATTAAAAAACATCATTGAACACTCTGATTTTGTGAATCATCACTTTGAAATCAAGTTATTCTCTTGGCTTGAATGAGCATCTGTAAAAAAAAAATGTGAATCTGGAGAAGCCAAAGCCGCCACTCGAGAGGGACATACAAACCAATCTGATTAATTTGCGTAAAACAAGCTTTTAGGATTCCCGTGGCTACAAAGAATCAGTGGATCTGAATCTTTACTCTGGGGGCTGTCCAGGGTGTCCAGCCTTGCCCGGGAAAGTTGATAAAATCCTTCAAATGTCCACGGTTTTGTATGGAAGATTCGAGTTTATGTCACGTGGACTTACTGTGTTAGAATCCAACCCCAAATACTTGTGTGACTCTGTAACTCTGCCCCCGCGTAGTCGTGTCCCTTTGTGGGGGACTCAGAATATGGTCACTCTACTTTCTTTTACTTTCTTTCACCCTACTTTTTTTTCTTCGCTGGAGTTTTCATCTACTCTGTAAGTCATGTCAAACTTAAAAGTTGAGATAACACCAAGCATGAATAACATAATTCCTGTGAATGACACAATTAGACGCAAGTTCTTGTCAGGTGATGTGGATTAAGTCCAACTAAACAGATTATATGTTCAAATGATGCTGATTACAGCGCCAATGTGCTACTCGCCTCATTCGCTTATTTGCAGGAGTTGAAAAATCTGAACTCAATCTGAACTTTGGAGATTTCTGGTGACTTGTGCGTCAACAACTGATCAAAGGAGGTAAATTCATAAGGGGCAAACTAATGCGACTGCCTGAGGCGACCTGAGCGAGAGGACACGACTTCTTTTTGAGTACTGAAGCAGGAATAAGAAAGGAGGAATAAGTGAGGAGGTTAGATTATCTAGTAAATAGTGCAAACAAAACAAATCCCGACAGTGTTATAAACTTTCACCATCTATCCATCCATCTTCAACCATTTATCTGGGGTCTATCTATCTGGAGAAGAGAAGCCCAGACTTTCCACTCCCCAGCCACTTCATCTGGCTTCCCTGAGAGGCGTAGACTCTCCAGCGTGTCTCGGGTCTTCCCTGCAGTCTCCTAACTGTGGGTCGTGCCCTAAACGCCTCACCAGCAAGGTGTCCAGGAGGCATACTAATTAGATGCCCAAGCCACCTCATCTGACTCCTCTCAATGCGGAGGAGCAGCGGCTCTACTCCCAGCCCCTCCCGAATGACTAAGCGGCTCACCCTCTCTCTAAGCGAGAGCCCAGCCACCCTGTGGAGGAAACTCATTTCAGCCACTTGTACTCGCGATATTGTTCTTTTGGTCACTTCCCACAGCTCGTGACCATCGGTGAGGGTAGGAATGTAGATCGACCGGTATATCAAGAGCTTTGCCTTTCACCCCAGCTCCCTCTCTAACATAACAGATCTTTGCAGCGTCTGCCATGTAATGTAAACTCTTCATTCCAAATTTCCTCAGACTTTTCCTTCCAGCTCCTCTAGTTCCAAAAAAAGTCAAGGCAAGTTGACGTGTGAAGGCAGGTTTAAGTCTTTGAATATCACAAGAGTAAGTTTGTAGGGATGATGACTGTCGTAGCATTTAGAAAAGTTTGATTTTGTGCACGTAATTGAGCTTCTTCATAGCCTTTTCTGCTTCAATCACAATCATGCTACTGTAAATATAACCAAACAAAAGATCCTGGTAATTGTGTTATTTAAAGAAAGAAAAAAAATTACAGGCTGAATGAAATGTGAGAACACTAAGTATGTGGTTAGGTCAACTGGTGCAAATGACTATGGTCTTGTTACAGAGAAACAAATCCTTTCTTGTGGTTTTAATAAACTTTTCAACCAAACTTCAAGTTTTCCACAAAACTTCAAAACACTTTGAAAATATCTCAAAGAAGCTTTTATTAACTTAAAAAGAAGCTGCAAACTCCTACCTGGCTCATCTCTCTTGAACGCAGCATGATTGTTCTCATGTTAACATCACACATTCATCAGAGCAGAGAATAAAAATAATGTGCTACTAAAACTTTCAAAGTTTGATGTTTTGGCATTTGGAGCTTTCACACTTAAAAATGTATCACTCCAACTGTGCGTCCTCACTGGTGCTCATGGAAACACACCCACACAGACACTTTCTGGCACTCCTAGCTGAAGTACAGAGACTCTTCTTCGCTCTCCCGTCAGTCAGATACTGTATTTTTCAGCTGTCTCTCATGTGAATTATGTGCAGCCATATGACTCACATCACAAACAAATAAAAAAATACAGCATGCTGTTGTAAATACTGAGTCAATGTTTGTGTCTTTCTGTCAGGGATGATGCTGTTTATCCTCAGATAAATAAACTGTTAAGCTTGAATTTAGAGCCGATATCACGCAGCCACTCCAAACATCTCTTTCACTTTTCCTGCACAGACTCAGGTAATCTTAGAGAGTGTAAATAAAGCTTCAACATTTGTCAATTCTTCCCTTTTATTAAAAAAAAAATCTATTGATGGAGAAAAGCAGCGGACAGACTTTGTCTCTCAGACACAGAGAGGGTTGTTTAGACGCAGAGAAGATGAAGAGATTCTTTGTGCAGCTCTCTAAGGATTTTTGAAAATATAAAGCTTGCTTTTATTTTCACCATAGGGTTGATATAATCCTAGTGTTTACAGAAATACCACATTATTCTACTTTTCAGGACTTGTTTTTGCAGTACTTGGAGCATGAGTTATATGCAGATTGATTAATTTTCTAGTAAGAATGCATTTTCTTCTCAGCACTCTTCTCTCCCTGGTCTCTTTCTCCCTTTCCCTTTGTCATTATTACCAAATGTGCATGTGGGACTTTTGAAAGTATGTGCATTTGTGTGCCTTGCCTACTATCTACTGTGTTTAAGTAATGAAAATAGTCAAAGAACTAGCAGTTAGTGGTTGTTTTGCCAGTGAATGGTGCTTTGTGTTCAGCTTGTTATCCCATTTGTCATTGCATGTGTCTTCGACTTGTGCATGTGTTATTTTAGTTGCATTGTTGACATATTTGCACTGTAAATGTAGTAGTTGGATTTTGAGAAATGTAGTCTTCAGTGGGACATTTTTCAAAGCACTAAAACCCAGTGTTTTTACCTCTGAAGCTCAGCCTAACACTTTCCCACAGTAATTCAGTCACCGATCTGCCTCTCTTTCAAGGTCCCTTTGGTTTTCTCTTCACCTGATCACAGGTATTTACTTGTTAAAATATTCACCATCCAGATTTTTCCATGGCCTCTATCAACCACTTAGCGTGTTGCAGCTAATTCTGTCATTTTGCCATTCCAGCAAAGGTTGTTGTGACCCATTTCAAGGCAAAATGGTGGCACATGCAAAGTAGAGGCACGTTGGCTCACTGCATCTCTCTCGAGTTTGTTGTTTTAGTTCTTTCAGTTTTACTTGTTAGTGTGTGTCTTGTCTTTATAGCAACAGCTGACACTAAGACAAGCTGACTGATTCTGTCATCTGGTTCTGTCCCTTGCATACACAGTCAGAGAAACTTGTCCATAAAGGGCAACTGTGAATCCTTATGGACTTTGAGCACAATGAGAGCCTCATGCAGCCCACGACATATCTCCTTCCAGCACTCTAGCCCACACTGTGCCAAGATATTCCTACTGTCATATTGAAGAAACCAGTCTCAGTACTGTCTTCCTCTCAGTATGGTTCAGCTTTGTCTTAAATGTGTAGCTGCAGGATGCATTTTTCACATTTTATTGAATATCATGATGACCACTGGAAGATGGACATAAAAGGCAGGGTACGCTTGCTTTAGCATGGAGCAGGCCTGTTTCAATTTATCTGTATTGACAATGAGTGTCTTCATAGGAGCGGCCCTTCATGCTGATTGACACAAACCAGAAAACAGGAAACAAAAAAGTTTCCTTGATGCAAGACAGAAAAGATATCAAAATAAAAGTATGAAAATTTTTGTTTTATGAGGCAGGATCTTCTTAAGAGACGTTTTGGTCTATAGATCCAAGACTTGTAATTTATGGTATTATGGATTTTAGTTTGTCAAATATTTTTTAAACACTTAATTTATGATTTTTTAATTATCGTATATAAGAATCAAATAGTTTATCGAATATTTTCACAGAATAATTAAAACTTTTCACTCACTAAACATGTTGCTGATTGTTAAAGACATTACATTTAAAGGGATATTCTGGGGTAAAATTAAGTTAGGGTCAAACACACTATAACACTGAGTTAGACAACCTGTCGAGAGATGAATGTTGCCGACCGCTTGCTTCTCTAGTTATACCAACTTAAGTAATGACAGCAGGATAGCAATACAGAGAGCCACACACTCAACCAAAACGCCACTCTGTAGCCACAAATAATGCTCAGAACAGCACCTAACTTCATCAACAGTACATACAGGGTCCCAGCCATAGCACTAGCCACCAAACATCTTTTTAACTTTGCCTGATTTCTTTAGCAAAGAGAATAAACACAACTTACCTACTCTCTTCCAGTAGTCGCTTGTTTGTAAGGATCCTTGACCAGTCCATCATCGACTGCAGCGGAGGGACGCAGCTCAAGGAAGAACATTTATGATCATTTCTTCATGGAAATGCAATCAGACCGAGACGCTAAGGTTGACGAACTACCACGTCTGTAGTGCAAAATGATTAATATGATGATTATTACTTCAAGGAAATGATAAAGATCATAATGATCATAAATGTTCTTCCTTGAGCTGCGTCACCCCGCTGCAGCCGATGGACTCGCTTAGAGGTCTCCGTACAAACAAGCGGCTGGTGGATAAGAGTAGGTGAGTTGTGTTTATTCTCTTTGCTAAAGAAATTAGGCAAAGTTAAAAAGATGTTTGGTGGCTGGGACCTTATATGTACTGTTGATGAAGTTAGGTGCTGTTCTGAGCATTATTTGTGGCTGTAGAGTGGCTTTTTGGTTGAGCACATCGCTCTCTGTATTGCTATCTGCGGTCGTTACTAAAGTTGGTATAACTGAAGAAGCAAGCAGTCGGCAACATTCATCTCTCGACGGGTTGTAACTCGGTGTTACAGTGTGTTTGACCCTAACTTAATTTTACGCCAGAATATCCATTTAATTGTTATGGTGAAATAAACATCTTTAAGAATTTTATTTTGAAATTCTACTTTTTCCAAAACAACTGCAGGCTGTTATTTTTGAGTTGTAAAGTGGATTTAAAGTGCTGGTTTATCCTTTTGCCAAAGTCAACTATGATTGTATTTTCCAGTAGGTGCACTGGAGAGTCACAGTAATGCCATAAGTGTGGTTGCTATTCTAGTGGGAAAATTTATTACAGTAAGTAGATATGGATCTACAAACCTCAATCAATGAGTATTTCTTTGTTTCCTGCTGCTATTATGAGGGAAGTAAATCTTATGTTTCATCAGGAAAAGAAAAGCATTTCATCTCCTATTGATCAATAAGAGTTGTAATCTTTGAAATCAAAGGAGGAGGCACTTAACAACAAACCGGATCACTCAGCTTTTAAGTCCCTCTTATGTAGGAGAAAATAGTCTCCTACAAACTATTAAATTGTTCATTTAACTCTTGGTAGAATAGTTTATTAGCACCATCATATTTAAAGCACAAAGACTCCTGTACTTGTTTTATCATTGAAACCTTTGTGAGCATGCAGCATAAAAATCTCGGCTACATTATAATAAGATATTTTTCTACAGCGCTCTGTCCTTTTACATAATGCACCAAACATTCAGTGCCTCATTATTTTTACTTTGAAGTGAAAAAAAAAATGAAACCAAAGGACATCTTCCCTTTGTGAATAAATTAGAAGGCTGCAGCTTGCTCTCTGTATCGACGCTTGCACGATAATTATCATTTTTCTCCGTCTGTAAACAAAATCATTAGCGGGACGATGTAGGCTTCTGTAGTCTGTGTAATAGGGCCACTGATTACTTGTTTTGGTGTTAGCAGAGACATCAGCCTTGGAAGGATATTGGCATTAGCGCTGGATAGAACCAGCCCTGATCAATTCTCTCTTAATGAGTTCTCCGCCCTTCTCTTCTGCTCGTATTTCGTTACTCCTCCGTGCTGTCTGCTGACTATGCTCTTCTGCATCTTTGAAAGAAAAAAAAAAGAGAGGAACTGAGAGTGGAGAGATGCCAAACCTGCTCATCCATGAACCTTTAAAGGTCAGGAAATAGGTTGGCAAACAGCCAGGGAACATTAACCAGCACAGTCACATTGTACTTTTC